TTTTTTTTTTTTTTTTTTTTGGAGAAGGTGGCTATGTTCTTTTTTCTGTTCCTCTTGACAAGGTGACAATGTGATATCAATTGTCACTCATCATCTTCATCACTTCCATACAGCTGACATAGGGATTGTAATGCACTGTAACATACAGATGTGGGTTCGGCATCTTGCTTTTCTTCATCCTTGTTAGCCGCTAGCTTGTTCCGATTCGACTCTGCAGTTGGTTTCTTCACAATTGAAACCCGAACAGAAGAGGACTTGAAAAGAAACTTTCCCTTATCGGGAGCCCCACAAGCACCGGCATTATCTGTAGACAACCATGCGAAAGATATTATCTATACAGAGATTCCACAATGAATGCTATTCATTGTGCACATTCACCAGAAACCAACCAAGACACAGTTCAAACACAGTGAATTCTATTAGCTATAAGGATATCGCAAATGAATCGTAAAGGTAAGCATCTATTGAAAACTTCAAGTACAGAAACAGAATCCTAATCAGAGTTGTTTAAATGTTTCAAAATCGTCTCGAGTTGCAATTATTGTGCAGAAGATTGACCATTTCACCACCCAGTGTGAACTTTGAACCCCAATGAATGAGTATTGATTGTGGTAAAGTGTAAAATTAACAGAAACCCCAACCCCCAAGTTCCCTATAAAAACCGAAGGCAAACGGAAAGAAAAATTCCATTGCACTAGAGAGAATTCTGCACTTCTGAAATATAATAACGAAGCAGTAAAATATATTGGTTCTTGACTCGAAATAAAACTACAATACACAGACACACATATCACTACGTATATTGAAAGTTTGTGTAGCAAACCTTGACTGCTGGAGCTGTCAACGGTGACTTTTGTCAGAATATCAGTTGGGTTAGAATGATTCTCTTCATGCACTTTTATCCTCTGCACAATTAACAAGCATGCTTAGGAACGAATTTCATTGGATCTGATTAGTTCAACAAAGAGCAATTATTTTACTCCTAACAAAATGTCGAAACATATATCAGGAGTTATTTTTGTTACTGTTCCTTAAATTAAATTTGGTTGGGTCTTTTAATTGATGAATCACCACTTATCTCGGTAAAAATTAATATTTATACATATCCAAATTTTCTAATCTGAACATTTAAGGGACGCAGGTAAAACAACTATAAAGCACTAAAAGGCCTCAATCCCATATTTAACAAGTACTTTGGCAGGCCTCAGAATTAACATCAATTTATATACCCTTTTACACAACAAATTATACATTTTTCGACGCCCCTTCACGTGACTTTTAATTTTATTTTTCCATCTCCGACTTTATTGCAGTTCTATTGGAAAATTGGAGACACTGCGGGTAAGTTTTTCAGAATGGGGTTATCAAGGGCAATTTTGGGATGTACTCCAACTTACGTATCAGTAGCAAAAAGCATCAAGAGGCAACACTAGTGTTTGCTAGTACACTACGGGAATGAAATGGGAAAATTTGTTGCATGTACGATGCCAAACCAACATACCTTAAACATCAATTTGTTTTGTTTGCTTCACAACTCTAGTAATGGTAACAAAGGATCTTTCTAATTTCAGAATTCAAATAAGTTCCTGGACAATTTCTTTTATGAAAATTCTTACAGAAAAAAACTCTCAAGCTTGATGGCAAGTAAAAAATTTACCTTCGAAGGACGAGTTGATTTTTCATCAGTTTCGGTAGCAAATAAATACTCATCCTCATCATCATCTAAATCTTCATCATAAATCCTTCGTAAAACCACAGGCTCACGTTGTCCCTTCATTAAAAGTAGCACATGGAAAGCCTAAGAATTTGGACAATAACAAAGCCTAAGCCAAACAAGAGATGGGAGAGACAGATTCCCTACCTACCTTGAACACTGATTTTATAAGAGCTTCATCTTCTTCCTCTAACTTCCTCTCCTACAAAACAAACACCCACTTAGAAAGGGTTTGGTCGAAACAGAATGACAACAGGCCAACTATAGCTGAATGCGAATAAGTGCTACAATGACTATTTTCTGCGGCGCAGCCAAAATATTTACTTGATATTGTGGGGGATGAGGAGGGTGTTATCGCACACATTTCACGAATACAAATAATAATAATTTTTTTTCTTTTTTTTAATTCTTCAACTTCTTGTGTTCTTAGAAGAACCTAGGAAATTTAAAGGTTCAAATACCAATGCCGGAATCAGCAAGTGGAAAGTGATGTCTAACACCGTTCAATAACAACCTCAGGTACCCGTGAGACCTGATTTGGCTGCAGAAGGCCAGAAGCCAAATGAACAAAAAAAATGATATTTAAGAAACTCCATCATGCGACATATACCTGTATTATATGAACAGTAATAGGCTTGAAGTGTTACATGAAGCTTACAGAATCATATACTCCCACTTTAAACAGAAATCAAAGTCCGAGAAAACTTCCATGACAGGACTAGTAATGTTTCACATTTGACGGCTTCATCTATTAGGCAGAGCAACAGTTCATAACTTTCATAGCACTTTGATAACTTAAAAGGCCCCTCTTCTCAAATAAATCAAGTCAAGCTGTACATTGCTTTTGCTACTGTAACCAATGACTTACATCGATTTTCATAAAATGCAATTTGAGCACATGCAACTTGTACAAAATAGAGGATGAGAGTAGTTACCTTCTGCTCATTTGAGCGCTGCAGAGCTTCCAGCATTGCATCTTCACTTACAGTTGCATGTCTTGACTGAAAATACGGAAGGTTGGAGATGGGGGCAGAAGAGCAATTAGGTTAATATTTTCAGATTCGTGTGTTCGAGGAAAAAATAAATAAATAAAACAGAGAAAAAAGAAGTAACATAATCCGTAGATAGACCAACTACTGTGAATATACCAATAAAATGAATAATCACCTTCATAGATATCATTTCATCCAAAGTCCAAGGATATCCATTTCTCTCTTTGAATCCAAAGTTCTATTCTCCCATGACTTCATGGCATCACCCATCTCTTCAGCTGTCCTTTTCTTCTTTTCTTCCTCCAATTGCTGATGATAAAGAAAAATAGACGAGTATAAATGTATATTCACGTGTTATAACTATGAAGAAACCAGATAACGGAAATACCTGCAGCTCAACAAAGTCACCACTATGCACAACAAAAATACTAAGACAGGGAAGAAAAGAAAAAGGATCAAAAATTTACCTCATCCTCTGCACGCCAAGGTTCGAAATTCCTACTGGCACCAGACTCAACAACATAATCTGAATTTTGGGGATCCGTGTTGAAAGTTACTTCTGCTGGACATTTGGTGCACTTGAAATAAAACCTGTAAATCTGGATGCCCAGATAGGTCTGCAGACAAAAGGAAACATTGCCAAATTTAGAACAACGTAGATCACCACACCTGCTGCAGCACCATTTTGAATCAAATAATCGGCATAGGCTTACACATACAGCACATACAAATTCTGGAATCGTGCACCATACGTGCAGCTTGTATTTTCAAAGCAGGTAATCTACACCGTGAAAAACTGCAGATAGTGCACTACACAATTACAAAGATAAAGCCTCTCTCCCATAAAATCATGCTTTAAACCCTAAAGCAAAGCAGAACAAATTTTAAAATCACAACGGAATCAGAAACTGAAAACCAACCATCATTCATTTAAAAACAGCAGAAAAGGCACACGAGTACACAAAACCCACCTCCCCCACGACATCTTCCTTACGGGAATTGAATTTAGTTCCCTCGGAGATGTAATTACCGCACGTCCCACACCGAATACGCATAGGAAGCATCATCCGCACTTTCTTCTGTTGGTTCTTGGGTTGCCTCCGGCGAGGAATCTTCGCCGGATCGAAGTCCGGCGAGTAGTATTTGTTCAAAACCTTCCGTTCTCCCATCTTTCTTTCGGCTCAACAGAACACCAATAGATGCTAAAATCTACCTGCCAGAGATGAAGAAGAGCTTTTCAGGGAAGGAGAAAACGGCCAACGCCTAGGACGGTGGCGTATAGGAAGGTTTGGGATGATTAGAGCATCTCCAAATTTTGTAGAAGCAATCTATAAAAGAACTTCTCTGTTATGAAAGATATATAGAATTATTATAGGAGTCCTTCTACATGTATAAATCCTTCATGTGGTGAGTCGTATTTTATTCCCTTTGTTTATTTTTTTTATTTATATTATCCTTATACAATTCATAAACAATAAAATTTGCTCAAACATATATATAGTATTTACTTAAAAGATAAAGAAAAAATTTAATCTATCTATTAATCTATCTATCTATCTATCTATCTATATATATATATATATATATATATAGGGTTGGGTTCACATGAGAATGGTTCC